GTTGTTCCCCCAGAGGGTGGTTGGGAGCTGGAACAGGGTCCCCAGGGTGGTCACAGCAGAAAGCCTGTTCAAGAAGTGTTTGGACAATATTCTCACGCACATGGTGTGATTCTTGGGGATGGTCCTGTGCACGGCCAGGAGTTGTACTCAACTATCCTTGTGGGTCCCTTCCAACTTGGCGTATTCTGTGATAATTCTCAGCATCAGAGACCTGTAGTTCTCAGGACTGAGACCTATTTTTAAATTCCCAAATTAAGTTATTATAACACTTCCTTTTTTAAACTTGTCAAGCTTTGACTCCTTTCAGTCTAGTAAATTGTAAGTGACTCAAGTTCAACTGACAGAGCTTAACAAGGCCTATAGACTCTTTTAATACATTTGACTACTTGACTGTCGCGTGCTGATCAGTTCAAAACAATGGAGTCAGAAAAGGTGGCATAAAGCCTTCCAAGATTTGTCTCAATCGGCACACTGTGATGCCGTAGATTAGACTTGTCAAATGGTCACATAGTTTATCTTTGGAATGTTATTAAAGCAAATTCTAAAGACATTTTTCATCTGACTATGCAGACATACATAAATACAGACCACGTACAAACACTGGCAAATGAACAAGACCTTGTAGATCTACATATCAGCTTGAAAGCCTTTGAAAATGCCTTCCATGATATTCTAGAGATATATTTGCACTAACAGTGTTTCTTTCAGAACAACTTTGAGAGTACTGTGTAATATCCTGTAATATAAAAATGCAGTTTGGAATGAGATAGGAATTACAATTGAATATCTTCTTGGAAATTTAATGAAGTAGAAAGTCAGCTGCTTCAGACCGAAGCAAGAATAGACAAACAGCAGTAGCATATCTACTCACAGATTCGTGCGTACACACTTCAGGTAATTTTGTATAGCAAATCTCTCAAGTCCATAATAATTATGAAGCTGTTAAGCATGTGATAAACTTGGAACAATAAGCATACAATAAACTCATGATACCTGATTTACAGCATAGCACAGTCTTTCTCTGTAATGACAAAATTTGATTTGGCTGCATAAATAGCGATTTGGTTGCGTAAATGGAGATTAAAGTTGTATTAGGTTGTAAAAATGTAGATTTCCTTCATAGGTTGGGAGAAGTAACATGTTCAGAGGTTTCAAAGATAAATTGTATAATGAAAAGTATTCTCTGTAATGTAAAGTATTCCCTCTGTACCAGAGATTCAGAGCACCGAGTCCTCTTCTGAGTCAATCTAAAAATACTAAAGACACTGTACAATTGCATTATGTCAACCATGGTACCATGTGCTATGTAAAAAGTAAACCAATCCATGAAAAGTTTGGATCTCAGAAAAACTCTTGTAGTGCTGGAATTATATCTGTTGCTCCTATAGAGACCAACAGGTCTCCTCTGTTCTTCTTTACAGAGAAAACCTACTCCTTAGATAACTTCTTTTAAGTATCAGTGGCACAAAGAATAACTGAAAAGTGAGCACAGTTGCTGGAATCATAATTCCATCTTCATGCTGTCGAATAGTAAAACCAGGAAACAAGTCCTTTTCTTTACTTCGAAATCAATATACACAGGTAAACATCAAGACTTTAGAGAGTGAAAAATTCTGCATAAACATCCATGCAGTAGTTACGTTCTTAGCACAGTGGTAAGCCCAGTGAGCAATCTTGCTTTCCCACAAAGAAGGGAGACACCTCATGTGCACACCTCATTTGAAAACTAGGCAGTACTGCCAAGTGTCACTGTCCACAACCCCATCTGTTTAACACTACGTGGTTATATTTAAGTGTTCCCTATGATCCTAATGCTTGCAGTAGTAAAATTAGAGTTTTAAACTGAGCTGTCAAAGTAAGCTTCCTGACCTATAAATAGCCACGGAGTTCTCTAACAATGAAGTAAACTAGAAGCAGCAAGCTGTTAGACAAGTAAAATGTTGATCCAGCTAACTTTTATTCTCAGCAAATTTATCAATACTGGTTAACAATACTTCCAACTAGTACAGGGCCTTCTGACATGACAAAATGAGTGTAACAACCCATTCTGTCAATACAACACAAATGTCATTTCAAGTGCTCAAAACCCACTAAGCTACCCTAAAAAAGATTGATTTATCTGCTCCAGTGTTTCTTTGGGGCAAACTTTTCTCACAACTGAAACCAATTAGTGGGCCTGGCACTTGTAGTGCAGAATGTAGGTCAGCATCAAGTAATAAAAAAGTATTGACTTTTCTCTGTCTGTAAGCAGCATGAAAGGGGTGCCATGGCCTTGTCGTATATGAAAAGAGCTCCATTAATTTCACTTATTTCAACCAGGGCTGTCAAATACTAATGCTTCTATTGCACTTTTCACACAAAGTACATTGACACCAATCCTGGCCTCAGTGTAACAAGTTTACAATATTTCAGTCAGTGAAAGGGGTACTATAATTTTTAATTCCCTGTTGTACATTTAGTCTCTTTAAAGCAGCACTGCTCATAAGACCTACTGAGAGATATGAGCTGGGACATTAATAATGGCTACACACTTCTTCCCATGGGCAACAGAATCTATTTCTTGGGCATAGCTTCAACAGCTAATTAGCCATAAAGTTCAGGACACAGTTGTTTGGCATAACTCTGTTTTTGTGGCTGGTGGGCACAGACTGCCAATTTTACTTTCTGCCACGGAGAAATAGCCAAAACCTAGGAATAGGTCCTCTATGACTTAAGGCTATAAAATTGAAAAACTAATGTGTTAACCAATTGGGTCAACTAGCCCCTTCAAATAAGAGATAATAACAAAAGCCTGAATCGTGCCTTCGGGACTGGATCTCATTGTGTCAGAGCAGAGGTATTGACTTCCAGGGAAAAGCATGCCTAATCAGAGTTCCCTGCACCACAGTGGACAAGTGACCACTACTATGATGAAGGAGGTAGAATTACACCTTTCCCTATTCAGCTTGCCAGCACGATGCAGAGGAAGAGAACAAGGAGCCATCATCTACCTCCTTCTTCAACTGTCAACTACCACCACCAATTCTAAAACCTCTAAATTTTGTTCTGTTTGGTAAGTGTAATAAAGTTTTCATGGAAGCATAGGTTATTGTATGAGCTTCTCCATATTGTGGATAGACACAGCAGAGGTCAAACTGACCCAAAATGTTATGACCCTGTTGCCCTCCATTCTCTGCAATTTGCCTTTTAAACTGACTCTTTTTTTTTTTCCAAGAAAACTTTATGGTTCTTATTGACAAGCTTGAGGGCTCTGAGTGTGATGTCTACTCATTCCCTAATTACCTCCTGCAAATGCAAACATC